AAATCAGACCATCGACACACACTTTATGAGGAATTTTTTAAGCAAAACGAGTAGACTCCAACAAGGCAAATCCTGGATGGGTCGGGCTGAGGATGCCATCGAACATGTTTGCCGCCGTACTGACATTAATTTAGTAAATGAATGGGTAATTATGCCTCCCTCTCCAAACATTATTACAGTCCATATCAGACTTGATGGAAGCTTTAGAGAGCAGATTCCTGGCATTGTGGACATTTTAGTCAGAACACTGATTGATGAAAGCACAGATGAAGGTGATGCTATAGTTTACACAGATGGGTCAGTAATTAAGGGCAAGCGAAGTGCATGGGCTTTCACTGTAATCTCAAGGGGGGAAGCCATCAAGCCTTTGCTGTTACAACTAGTAGCCTTACAATAGAAACTATGGCTGTAACAAGGGAGTTAGCATGGCTTTGTACTCAGAAGTTCACACACGTATGCATTCTTAGTGACTCGATGAAGATGCTTAAATAATTCAAGCTGGATTTATCAGGCAAGAATGGATTGAAACACAAAGCACTTCACGAATATCTGCCCTAACCTTCATATTTGTGTCAGGTCACGAGGGTGTTCAAGGGAACGAGCGTGCAGACTATCTTGCTGACACCGCAGTTGCTTTGGCTGGCCCAGTACTGGACAGAAGTGATGTTATCGATGCCATGCGCTGCCCTTACCGTACCGAGGAGCACGTCAAAGAACATGACTCCATATCCCTGTCTAGACTGATGGACATGGGGGTGCAGCCTGGAGCTGCAAGAAATGAATATTTCACTAAGAGGACAAGACGTTTCATTAACCAACACAGAACAGGCGTCATCAGTCGTTTTACACTTGTGGAGCTTTTGAGGAGGAGATCGGAGCACCTATCCTATGGATCTGTCCAGAGTGCTGTGATGATACTCTTTTTAATCACGAATCATTCGTTTTTAAGAAACTTTTAAATCATATGTTAGTTCAAACTTAAATTTACTTGCATGCTATGTATCTTGTTTTGTATACCTGATCAAGCTAGCTGCTTTGATTTCAGCTTGTCTGTAACATTGATCAAATCTTCAGCAAGTCTACCGACTACCGGCTAACTTGCATGGCTGGCGGAAGTTGCGCAAAACGTACACATTTCAGTGAGAAACAATACAAGAAGTAGTGCGGCGCTTCCAATATTTAACATCTGCTGTGCATTTGAACGCATGCTGAATGTGGAATCGACATCATAGCACTGGGGATACTCCCATGATAGGTCTGCCCCTATCTTCAGCAGCAAGCAAAGAGTTACAATTCCGATGGTACCAGTAACTGATTGACTGCACATCCGTCTCGCCTTTCCCTTCACTGTTCAGCGTCGGCTAGATCAACTGGTAACTCCCCGCAGCGCCATTCTCTCCAGACCGTATTTGTGCCCCCTTAGCGTCCACTCGCTCTCAAAAAGTCCTCACAGTACCTAGCTAGTCATATATCAGTTCACCACACAATGGCGTAGAATCGGCTAGTCTCTCACCAGTCTCTCTGCCTTCTCGTTTCCCAACACACCAGAAATTATCTGGACTATTGTCGGGACAAGAGAAATGTATGGAGTAACAAATTATATATATATATATATATATATATATATATATATATATATATATATATATATATATATATATGTGTGTGTGTGTGTGTGTGTGTGTGTGTGTGTGTGTGTTTGTGTGCAAATGTGTGTATATAAGTTACAAGATCATTTTACCACCAGTGGCATATCAGGCATATGTGTTTTTTTAAATCAGTTGACTTTGAATGAATGATGTGGTCAACAAAAGGCTCCTTTCTTCCCTATGTATTTCCATATATCTGTTTTAGGCTGGTTAGACCAGTGAGCCACAGTCGATATCTTGTTTTATAATCTGCCCGATAAAGATTCGAACCCAATATCAAAAGCCTTATAGATAAGCGTCTGACTTATTTTACTAGCGTAGTTAGGACTATTAAAAGACCGATACACAGGCTTCCTTCAAAGATTCTTAATTCTATTTATTTTGCGCTTACATTTTTACTTCATTGACCAGTTCAATCAATAAATTGTTTCTCTAAAGAAACATTCGTTTTGATAACCTAGGACTAGCTGACATAAGAGGCAAGAAGAATGCTAACAAGTTCACAGAGACTACTCACTAATATACGTAGGAGCAAGAGCATGGGAGAATCAAGTATTTCACAGGGCATTCATATATACCTATATTTGCGTATTCAGTCCCAAGCAACGAGTCTTGCATGATCGGGGATTGTCCATGTGTGTCAAATTATGAATGGCGTGGCTGGCTTTTAACCTAATCATACTATAGAATTCTCGCTAGTCTTCTTCTTCATTGCCAGTTAAAATAAGAAGACAAGTATTTGATATAGTTGATAGACCTGCACTAAATAAAGTAATGACCTAACTGTGAGTAAGTAAACACCCCACTGGAAAAAGATATCTGTCATCAGAGAGCAGCTGTAGTTCACAGGCTAGAAGTTTGCCTCCTTGTCCGAAAGGTTTGGGTTCCAATGGCTTTGAGGGGTATGTTTTGTAATTTACCTGTTATGACATATCAAGCTTGTATAAAGTTATCGTTATCATCATCAACATCCCGTAACACTACGTGTCGTTGTGTCACCAGTTTCTGATGAATGTCTGATCAGCTCTCTCCACCTTTGGCGGTCAGTTGCGGGACTCCATGGTTGCATGCCTGAGGCCTGTCCAGTCAGTCAGATTCTGTAAACAGGTCTTTCTTGGTCTTCCTCTTCTCCTCTTTCCCTCTACTGAGCTTGCAGTATTGATTTTGAGAGGCCGTTATATCTTTTTACATTCCCATACCATTGCATTTTTCGCCTTTTCACTGTAGTTAAAAGAGGTTCATCGTTACCAATGTGCTGTAAAATTTTATGGCGAACCTGTTAGTTTCTAATGTGGACTCAGTATGATATGCCAAGATATTTTCTTAAACATCTCATTTCTAAAGCTTGTATCTTTCTTTCAAGTTCACGTTTCACTGCCAAATGTAAATGCACCAATATATAGTGCTCTGAGCAATCGAACCTTAGTTTTGCTTAAAATGTTTTTGGATCTCCATAATGTTTGCAGCTTGGCAAGGACTGATGTTGTCTGGACAATCTAGACATGATTTCTGGGCTTGATCCCAGCTAATTTAAAATGGGTCCTAAATATCTGAAACGGTTGACTTGTTTTAATTTGTGACCTTTAACGTACATTGGTGAATTTATGCCAGCTGGATTATTAGTCATTACTTTTGTTATAGTTCGACCTCCCATGCTAACTGTTCCATGATGTTGTTCTGGGTTGTCAGTCATCATTCTTTTTAAGAATATACTAAGCAGTGTTTGGGAGAGGAGGCAGTCCTGACAGACTAAAACTGATGTTCGGAACCAGCTCCTAAATTGTCCGTTATAGTCTGACAGCACTACTTGCTTTAGCAAGAGTTTTTATTTTAATTGTAATACTTATGAGGATTTTTACCCAATATTGTACCTTTTTCATAGTTTCTCAGAGTGCTGCATGCCATACTCTACCAACGGTCTTTTTGAAATCCATGAAAACATAGTATAGATGTTTTTGGTTCTGGTGGCATTGCTCTGATAGTATGCGTAGATCAAATGTCTGTTCAACAGTCATTCTGTCAGCGAGGAAATCCGCCTGTTTCTCTGCTATCATCTTTTCCACATGCAGCTTTAATTTGTTTAGGAGTATCTTAAGCATGACTTTACTGAGATGACTGTTGAGGCTTATAGTCCTGTTATTTTGACATTGTTGTAAATTCCCCTTTTTTTGGGATGGTAATAATGAGTGATTTGATCAAAGAGATAGCCATTAACCGGTCTTACACATTTTTCTGCAGATTTAAATGAGGATGTCGATGACATCTGCCCCAACACCCGCCTTAAGGATCTCAGCTGGGATGTTTTTTTTTTTTTTTCTAAAATTCTGGTGGCTAGTTTTACCTGGTCCTTGTGTATTGAGAAGCTGCCATCTTCCTGTGCTTAGTTGTTGTCAAGGATGTCGATGTTGCTATTTGTTTGTTCGTTATTCGTTATACAGGCTCGAACAGTATTTACAAAATTTCATTCAGGATGTCACAACTCTGTAAGTAGGTTACCTTCTGTGTATTGGGTGGCGTTAATTCTTAATGTTTTCTCTAGACTGATGTTTGAACTAATGCTAAAAGCTTTTTTACTAATGTTTATCTTCTTACATTATTCTCTTTCTTCACATTTACTTTCTATCCAATTTTCTTTTGCATCTCACATGTCTTTTCTAATTTGAATATTTATCCCTCTATTCTAGTCTGCTAGTTGTGGAATGTGCCTAAATGTCTTTAGGTGGCTTCGCTGACCACACATGTTGAGGATTTCCTGCGTGACCCATGGTTGCTTTGGTTTTGTGTGTATCCCAATAATTTACTGTGTTGTTTCATTCATTTAAAATAGATCGTTGAAAGTAAAGGTGACTGGTGTGATGCTGACTGCTTCTCCAAAAAATGCAAATAGACGTGAAATATGAAACAGTTACAGTATACAGTGTCCTTTAGGATATCCTCTATGGTGAATTAGAGACGGGTAGAAGATGTCGAGGCGGGACACGAATGATGTGGATATTAGGGTGGACTCGTGGGAACAATGGCCATGGACCGTGCTGGGTGGAGGGGACACATCAGGAATGGAATGATAATAAAAGGAAGAAAAGATTGTAGAAAATATAAGGGCTGAGTGTCTGAAAAGAAACAGACTAAACACAAATGTTGACAACCACGGTTCCGAAATCCCATGCTATAATTGTCAAAGATATTTATTTTACGCAGGTGGGCCTTGCTAGTCACACTCATCATCGCCATGGGTTGTGAGTCCCATGCCTCATCATAGCACAATATAACCCGTTAAGACGGAAAGGTGTCAATCACAATACACAGACAAGAAACAATAGTCACGTTAAAGGGTTCTAAAATTGTGTTTAATCAACAGGCAACTGTTTGCTCATTAGAGATGATGCATGTGAATATACAGGCGTGAGTGTCCATGTTGTCATTGCTGTAGCCCGGACCGCATTGATTCGAACACAGATGGGCACATGCGGCTGTGGGCGGTGACTTTCTACCGGTGCGTTTTGTAGGTCGGTCACACTTACTGTCCAGACTCTGACCGTTGGTGACGGCACAGTTCTCAGCACAAACCTTCCCATTGTACAGCAGCTTGCCATATGTCTTGACGCACCTGTAACACTCCATTAGACAAGCTTTGTACATGGGCAGTTCTTCAAACTGACACTGGCATGTCATCAGGATCGCACAGATGAGCAGCAAGACCAAGAGCTTCATCTTCGGGTTTCCTAGAGAAAAAGAATAGAAAATCACGTTAGCGTTAACTCTGAATAGGTAACATAGTTGTTACAAACAGCTATGTGAACTCTGAGTAGAGTAGATAACATGGTTGTCACACACAGCTATGTGAACTCTGAGTAGATAACGTGGTTGTCACACTTGTTCTGTCAAGACGGTGGTGCCAGTTCAATTTCCAGTAAAAGCAGGAATTTGTTTTCATAATTAGTACATCAGTGGGGTTGACCTAGCCGTAAAATTGCTACATGTTTATTTATTTATATATATTAAAGATTCCGGATTATTTTCTAGGAACAGATCAGCTGAATATTCTGGCACCAGTCTTAGGCTGGGTCGACCGGAGAGAGCTACTTTAATTATAAAATTACCCGTAATTCGTTTCTGATGTGGTTTATTTGTAGCCCGCTGGCAGGCGAGCATCCAAATCACTCAACGGAAAATTTGGAGCACACAGAACGTCCCATCTTCCAACATAATGTGACTAGTGTCAGTTTCAACAACAGATTCAGTAGTTATTTTTCCAGTACGTTTAAGCACAGGTGTTATTTTCGTAGCTTTAGGCTACTTATCATATGGTACTAGCCCAAATTTGTTTGTAGTAATTAAAATGAACACTTGACATATGATATAATCAGTATCATGATCAGCCGCCTTAACTTTCGATGACATTTTCGATTCCTAATTTTGGCAGAGTGCACATGTGAACCAGGTCAGTTATTAAATATTTGAGGCATTGGGGGCATTGAAGCTATTACAACGGAGTATAAATGCAAGCGGGATAGAGTCTAAGTCACAGAGGCTCCTTTTAAGTCACAGAGGCTTCCGTTGACCATCAATATGCAGATGAATAGAAGGCATTTTTCCTGGAAGACAACCAGCGCATCGAATTTATTTTTCTTAAGATAGCGCTTTGCTAGTGCAGTTTTCACATAAGGACTGTGGTACAAGTTTCGCTGAAATATGCAGTTACTGTGTGCTAATATTTCTATATTGTCCGGGGACTAATTCACCAGTTTTTCAAATGCGACATTGAGGGGCATTTAATTTGATTTTTACTGGCACAGGAACGGAGCAAGTATGGGGAAACCCGAACGCGGAAATGTTGAAATGTCGACTAAGATTATGACTCAAGCTGTTATAACTGGGTAAGCCATAATACGAACGAACGAACGAACGAACTTTATTTTCAAAGGGTTACAAATTAGGCACGCAGGCCTGTCTTACATTCGGCCCTTCCAAAACTTCCATCTTTCACATAGCAGTTGTATTTCATCAATGAAGCATGTTATATTCATGTAATAATGTGCATATTATATGTATGAAGTCAAAAACAAAAGCATGGCTGGTAAAATATGTACGCACGCTCACGCGCGAACACACACACCCACATACACACACAAGCCCAATGACTCACTTACACACAAACATATAGGCACTAAGTACACACATACATCCACATACATACGAACATGCGAACACACACACATACATACATACATACATACATACATACATACATACATACATACATACATACATACATACACACACACACACACACACACACACACACACACACACATACATACATACATACATACATACATACATACATACATACATACATACATACATACACACACACACACACACACACACACACACACACACACACATACATACATACATACATACATACATACATACATACATACATACATACATACATACATACATACATACATACATACATACATACATACATACATACATACATACATACATACATACATACATACATACATACATACATACATACATACATACATACATACATACATACATACATACATACATACATACATACATACATACATACATACATACATACATACATACATACATACATACATACATACATACATACATACATACATACATACATACATACATACATACATACATACATACATACATACATACATACATACATACATACATACATACATACATACATACATACATACATACATACATACATACATACATACATACATACATACATACATACATACATACATACATACATACATACATACATACATACATACATACATACATACATACATACATACATACATACATACATACATACATACATACATACATACATACATACATACATACATACATACATACATACATACATACATACATACATACATACATACATACATACATACATACATACATACATACATACATACATACACATACATACATACATACATACATACATACATACATACATACATACATACATACATACATACATACATACATACATACATACATACATACATACATACATACATACATACATACATACATACATACATACATACATACATACATACATACATACATACATACATACATACATACATACATACATACATACATACATACATACATACATACATACATACATACATACATACATACATACATACATACATACATACATACATACATACATACATACATACATACATACATACATACATACATACATACATACATACATACATACATACATACATACATACATACATACATACATACATACATACATACATACATACATACATACATACATACATACATACATACATACATACATACATACATACATACATACATACATACATACATACATACATACATACATACATACATACATACATACATACATACATACATACATACATACATACATACATACATACATACATACATACATACATACATACATACATACATACATACATACATACATACATACATACATACATACATACATACATACATACATACATACATACATACATACATACATACATACATACATACATACATACATACATACATACATACATACATACATACATACATACATACATACATACATACATACATACATACATACATACATACATACATACATACATACATACATACATACATACATACATACATACATACATACATACATACATACATACATACATACATACATACATACATACATACATACATACATACATACATACATACATACATACATACATACATACATACATACATACATACATACATACATACATACATACATACATACATACATACATACATACATACATACATACATACATACATACATACATACATACATACATACATACATACATACATACATACATACATACATACATACATACATACATACATACATACATACATACATACATACATACATACATACATACATACATACATACATACATACATACATACATACATACATACATACATACATACATACATACATACATACATACATACATACATACATACATACATACATACATACATACATACATACATACATACATACATACATACATACATACATACATACATACATACATACATACACACACACACACACACACACACACACACACACACACACACACACACACACACACACACACACACACACACACACACACACACACACACACACACACACACACACACACACACACACACACACACACACACACACACACACACACACACACACACATACATACATACATACATACATACATACATACATACATACATACATACATACATACATACATACATACATACATACATACATACATACATACATACATACATACATACATACATACATACATACATACATACATACATGCATGCATGCATGCATGCATGCATGCATGCATGCATGCATGCATGCATGCATGCATGCATGCATGCATGCATGCATGCATGCATGCATACATACATGCATGCATGCATGCATGCATGCATGCATGCATGCATGCATGCATGCATGCATACATACATACATACATACATACATACATACATACATACATACATACATACATACATACATACATACATACATACATACATACATACATACATACATACATACATACATACATACATACATACATTGTGACGAGCTGGTCTGGACAGCTGTTTCTGTCCTCTTAAAAAGTGCTTTGTTTAGATAATATTATTACTAAAGTTCTAAACATTTTCCTATTGCTTTTAATTAGCATAATAACACTGGACTAAGTAAGAAATTTCTTACTCCTTTCCTAATGCTTCATTGTAGCAAAATTATAATTAAAGAGTTGAAAGGTAATAAAGGCGAAGAGTAGTGCAAGGGGTAACAAAGAGTAACTTCCCCCTTGGTAGGACTTCCCATCTTCGATTCTTTCATTCCAGGCTAGATTGGGGGAGTCAAGATTTTGTTCTCCCCAAATTGACACAGTTCAGTTAGTTCTGTTGTCTTGTTGCCTGAGTTTGAATTCCCTGCCAGGGGTGAGTTAAAAGAATAAGTTTAATTTGATGTATTGCTGCTTATTCCTCTGAATTAATTCCACAGGTTAAATTCTGAAATTTAATGCCTACATGGCTTAAAAACCACCTAAATTTCTTTATCCTCACTAACCACGTTTATGATCTAGTATGTACATGTATGCAAACATATTATCTATTTGATGATTGAATTAATGTTTATTTGCTACTAGAAACATGCATTAGTATTTTTAATTATTATACTTATATTAATTAAGTGATAATTATGTCCTCATGTGAAATCTCGGCCAGTTCCGGTTTCCAGCATGGTGGGACAATTAAAAAGGAATGAAGTGTATATTCATTATACCTAATCCCTTCTAAGTTGATTTTTACCTCTTGGTGATATTAGCTTAATAAATCACTGTCTTGCTTTAATTTAGATTTAGTCCAGATAATTTTGAGACTAGTTTAAGAGCTTGGAAAGTGAATAACACAGTGAGGCTGAATTTAATATTCACACTGTCAGAGAAGAAGAAGCAGAAAAGAGATGTATGGCCCCTGCTTGT